TGGCTAGAGGAAGAATATGAGCATAACTTCAGATCTGTGTTCAATCTTGGATGTACCACTTAACTAGATGTGATCTTGAGTAAGTAACTTTATGTGATCATTCCTATGGTTTCTCATTTTTTTTTCCTTATTGTATTTATTATTTATTTATTTGAGGGAGGGATAGAGTATGAATGGGGGAGGGGGAGAGAGAGAGGGAGAGAGAATCCCAAGCAGGCTCTGCCCCATCAGTGAAGAGCCCAATGTGGAACTTGAACTTGTGAGTCAGTGAGATAATGACTCGAGTCGAAACCAAGAGTTGGATGCCTAGCCAACAGAGCAGCCCACATGTCCCTTTAGTTTCTCATTTCTAATAGAGAGAGTCCGAGGCACATGGTGGTAATGCACAATGAATTAACAATAGTAATTTTCTTATTATTCAACATGTAAACAAACATATGGAAAGCTATGTACTTGGACGATATTAGCTAACCAACTTGAATAATTCATTAAAGAGTTCAACAATTAATATTAAGATTTCAACAACTTATTAAAGAGCTGAGGGGCGCCTGGGTGGCTTAGTCGGTTAAGGGTCCGACTTCCGCTTAGGTCATGATCTCGCGGTTCGTGGGTTCGAGCCCCGCGTCGGGCTCTGTGCTGACTGCCAGCTCAGAGCCTGGAGCCTGTTTCAGAGTCTGTGATTCCCTCTCTCTCTGACCCTCCCCTGCTCACACTGTCTCTCTCTCTCTCTCTCCTAGAAATAAATAAAAACATAAAAAAAAAAGAGCTGAAAAATGAAATGATCAGATTTTTAGAAAGATGATCCTAAGACTAATGTAGAGAATGGATTAGAGGGAGACATGATTAGAGATAGTGAGAAATAAAGAGACTCAAAATAAAAGATAGCAAGGGCATAGTCCATGCCGAAGACAAGAAAATAGGCATCATGTGATGACACTTTAGATGTTAAGGGGTATTTCCAAGTTGTTGATATATAAGATTAGGTTTTGCCATGATTAAAGAAAGTAAATGTGGGCAAGGGAAAGATACAAAATCAATTTAGAAAGTTTTATCTTTGTTTTATTTTTTTTTGAAAAATAATATGTAAAGATTGAGATAGTAGAGTCATGTAGAAATGCCTAGGGAATAGATTGGATATATGATCCTAGAACTTAAAAGAAAGGTATGGGGTACAGTTATAGATAATAACTATGGAAGGTGAGATAAAGGCATGAGCTAACTAACCAATATATCCAAGACCCAGTTCAAAGAGCCAATGGTGAATGATTTATTGAAATAAACACGGTCATGTTATAATGATCAGTGAAGGAGATGAGGCATTATATACCATTACAAATTGTAATAAAGGATGTAATGCAAAAAATAAGGGTACTATACATACTTAAATGGGACTGAATCATTAGGGGGTTGCAGGGTTCACAAATTTCCTGAAGATTGACATTTGTGCCAAAGATGAGTAGGATTATCTATTTGGGGACAGTAAATGGGTGGACACTGCATAGTGTTGCAGATATTCCCACAAATATTATGAGTACAACCCTTAAAGTGAGAATCACATAGTGAATAGTAAAAACAAAAACAATAAAATAAGATCCAATGACTATCTTTGGGGATAAACAAAAGCAGATGTTAGGGAGACTGTATCTACTCTGAACTTGGGCAGGGACTCTTGGAATGGAATGAATAGGTGGGTGCCAAGCTTTGAGGGCAGTAAGTTGATATTCTAAGGCTTATTTTAAAGAAATGCTGCTGACTTGCGCCTGAAATGGAGCTCTGAAGCACAATATTCAAGGGTTGAATGGAGATCCCCTGAGGAAAATGAAAATTATTATCTGATTTGAAAATGTGGAGGTTATTGGTGTTCTTCTGTTACAGGGCAATAAATGGAAAGGAAATCAGATTACAGTGGGCTGAAAATTAAATTGAAAGTGAGAACATAGTCATTGTAGCAAGACTTTCAAAAAGCTTGAATGGAGAAAAAGATGGCAGAATCTGAGGGTGGTGGGAATGGGTGACACAGGCTTTAGAGAGAGTTTTGTTTCTGCCTCTATGGTAAATGAAACATATTAAGCATACTCTTTAACTGAAAAGAAGGAGGCAGCTGTAAAGGAGAAGATGGCTTTGATGAATTGAGAAGAAAATAATAACTGATGGCTTCAAGGTTGAGAAAATAACAAGAAAGAAAGAGATCAAGAGGTGGAGTGGAAGAATTAGTCTTAGGCAAGTGGAAGAATGTTGGATAGGAGGGAAGATTCCAGAAGAACTTGGGGAATTTCATAAGATACGTTCTGTGTATGGAAAGGAATAACAACTGGAATTGGAACAGTTGATCCAGCACTACAATTTTAGAGTGACAGGATTTTGTAATCTAGATTCACACCTGAGGCTCAAAGTGGTGTAACATCATGTCCAAGATCACAAGGCATCGTAGGCTATGTCTTCTAGCAGAGGGCTCAAATATAGCTTGAATATGAGTTGAGTGGATTTATGTATTTGCAAAAACTAACTTTAAGATCACCAGAGTGTAATCTACATATAAATTGTATATTAAATACATATTTCTTTTTTTAAATATATCCTAGTGGTATGTATCTTTGAGTCATTATTCTTATGATGCAAATTAATATTTGACAGTTTACAACTGTTTAAGAACTATTCATAGGCTCTTTTAGTTAACAGGCCATTTAGCTGCATTTACTTATGATATCAACTTCAAAACCAGAGCTTGTTCTAGTCTGATAAAACTGGAAAGGACACCAATATGGGCAGTGGAGAAAAATTCTGTAATTCAAGTAAATTATCATTTTCCAATTAAAAATAAAACCTAAGGAAAACTAAAGCAGAGGAGGCTGAAAGTAGACTGCACTGAAATCATTTTTCAGGCAGATGTGCCACTACTGCTACTGTGCATTCTGCCTGATTTCCTTTCACTCCTAAGGATGTGGTTATTTCCAAGCTAGGTTTAAGGAGCAACTCCCAAAATTAATTTGAATTGGGTTGAGTACCCACTGCTAAATTCACCATTGTAAAATTTTAAAATTCTTTCCATGAAGGCAAAGAAGTTTTCTCATTGGTGTTACATGTGCAGACTTCATAAAAGAAACTCATTGATTATTCAACCAAAAAATTCTTAAGTGCCTACCTAGTAAGTGGCTGTCTTTGTGCTTGGCACGCCTTGCTACGGAAAGGTGAGTAAGAACAAGCAACGTGCCTGATACAATGTTCCCTTTAACTTAACTGCTGAATTTCAACTTAGAACTGAAATAATATAAAATTTGTTAGCTGTTTTCCTGCAGATCAGATGGGAACAGCAATGATTTTGTCCTAGATTTATCTTTGCTCTGTGTGATTTGATATGTGGTTTAACTTCAATCCAGCCTTCCTCAGTACTAGGTTACTGCTTTCAGAATGCATCATCAAGAATGCAATTTTGCATTTCTAGGTACTTCTATTTTCCAAGTTCAGGGATAAAGTATTTTATTTGATATGCTAAATCAGTGTCAATTTGATTGGCAACCTCATCACATTAAAAATGACATATCAATGAATATCTATATGGAGTATTTATACCACAAACCACCATTTATCTTTGGTGACATATTTATAAACATGTCTGGCATTTATTAACGCTTCTGGCATTTCATCTTCAAAAAAAGTTAGTATGAAAGTGCATGTGTAACCAATATAACTAAAAAGAAGTAAATGCATAGATAACAATGAAAAAGCAGTACATTATATGGAAAATGAAAACATAAATCAATAATAAAATGTAATGGAAATACCGAAATAAACTAGAAGTTAAGCATAAAAAACTAATTACATTCTCTCTAATATTTACTCAGTGGCTGTCAGTATGCAAAACATTGCTTATAAAATGAAATAAACCAGTACTTATTAAAACTTACACAGTTTACAAAATTAGAAAAAAAAGCAAGACTTTAAGTTGTAACATCAACTGTTTATATGTTTAAATTGCAATATGGTCCTAAAAGTGAAAAAAAAATATATTTAAATAACTGACAAAGAAGTAAAATCATCAAGTATGTTATTCCAAATTTACTGGAAGAAGGATTTTAATAGATATATTGCTAAAAATAAAAGCCTTCCAAGTAGAACCTAACTATTAAGAATACTTCATATCTCATTGTGATACAGCCAAAACTTCCTCTTAATGCAGATGAATAATAATCCATTAAATAAGAAAGGGAACAGATGTTATATTAATGCTCAAAACTTCCACTAGCTTTAGTACTTGAAACCTAAAAATGGACACCAATAATTCCCAAAGAAATTACCCTTAAAAACAAGTAATTCTCATAGACTACATGAGCAACTTAAAATTTCTAAGCCTTCCAGAACCTAAGTACTTATTTCATACACCATGTAAGAGATAACAATGGTGACTGAACCTTTCTATCCAAGCATTAGCAATGGGGGTATGTGAAGAGTAACTCAATCCACTGATAGGGCCTGAGATTCTACAACAGGTGAAGTTAAAGGTCACGTTCTTTTCCAAATCTCTTTATTATAAAGCAGTGTGGTACTTAAGAGCATGAACTTCATGGGCAGATCTGCAGTCACACAGAGCTACTAACCAGTTTTGTGAGCTTGCGCAAGTAAATGACTTCACTAAGCCTTAGTCCCTTCATCAGACAAGTGAGAATTAAAAAGAGACGCTAGTCATAAAGTTGTAAAGATTACATGATAGAACATATGTAAAAAAACTTAGCACAGTGACTGACACACAGTCAGAGCTCAGCAGATGCTAGGGAGTGGTTTCAACAGAAATACTACTACAACAAGCACTCCTAAAGGATTTCAGGCAAAAGCATACTTTAAAAGATATCTGTATGACTCATATATATATATATATATATATACATATATATATACATATATATGTATATATATATATACATAATTTACATTTGAATGTTTTAATGTCAATTTTTAGGAACTTATTTGTTACAAACTAAATCTGTTGGGGAATTCTCACTTACCTTGTCATTGACTACACTCTTCCCATCCCAAGCCCATCCTCTTTTGGTGAAGTAGTTAACAGTTGCAAATTCAATTAGGGCAGAGAACACAAATGCGTAACAAACGGCAATAAACCAATCCATTGCGGTTGCATAAGCCACTTTGGGGAGGGAGTTCCGAGCACTGATGCTTAGAGTTGTCATTGTTAGAACGGTTGTTACTCCTGCAGAAAGACAGGAACCAAAAACATCAACAGAAACAAGAGAGCAGTGGAAATATTCTTTTTTTCAAAGCAACTTTCAAAACTACTCTATCCACTTAAAAAAAAATGGAAGAACAGTGCAAAGTTAATTATCACAAATGGCTGTTGTAATTCTTGAAGTAATAACTCTAAAATGGTTTCAGTTTGCATTTTTATTGGGATAAATCTCTTTTTTCTCTTTTTAATACTGTTAAGATTACAAAAGTTGGTGATAAGTGAAGTAGAATTTCCTAGGAGGAAAATAGGTACTTTAAATTGATCCATTGTGCATTAACATTATTTTTTTAAAAATCCCACACAAAGCCTCATATGAATGTATTCATCATTTATTTAAAACATGCTAAGCAATGGACCAATCATTCATACCAGTGATCACAATGGAATTATGATTAAGAAGTTCTTCATTCTAAGTATAGCTACCTAAATATGAAATTAATTCTGGATTGCTTAGCATCGTGAGGACATCATTTCTTTCATAATGAAGCTTAGATTCTGTAGAAAATAAAACAAGCAACTAAACCCTAAATCTTATAAAATGCAAATCATTGCATTTAAGGAATATTTTTGCCTCTGTTCATTTAAAAAATAATTTGGTTCCTTTCACTGTAAAGCTTTTCTGCCAGTAGTCAGGGAAGTCATAATGATTAAGTAAAAAAGAAAGCAATAACTCAGGAGGTAACTGCAACATCAGCCGTCAAATGTCTGCAATTACCTGTTTGATCAGAGATCCAATAGAAGTTTAATAATGTACATAGGGTATACATTAAGTTAAAAGAGATTTAAAATGTTAATGAAATGTTCATTCATATGCTAAAGTTGTATTGTATTGTATTTTTTGTTTTCCCTTAGGATAAATACAGCACCTTTTTCTTCTCATCTACAATAGAGTTAGTAATTCAAAATAGCAATAATTCTTTGATCATGAGTGAATGTGTCTAGGAATATGATGGTACTAGCAGGGGAAAAAAATAGAAAAGTCCTTGACCTGCTACTAAGTCAATATTAAAAAACACATTTACAGGAATGCATTGCCCTTTCATGCCTCAAAGTGAAAGGATTTAGACTGTGAAGATATATTCCTTTGAGAACTGGGTACAGAAGAATAAATAAATAGAAAACAAGACAGATACAATCACATATATCCACAACCAAAACCACATCTTCCCCAGCCCATGTGCTTGCACAAATGCATGTGTGCACACACGTGTACACACACAAATACAAAACAAATGATAAATCAATATATGAAAATATATTTAACTTCCTTAGCAATTAAGGAAATATAAACAAAGTGATAATAAGATGACTTTTTAAAACAATATAGTCACCAAAGTGTTAGCAAACTTCAAAAGATTTATACTATGGTAGTGTTGGAGAGGATGTAGGGACATCCTTTCTGAATACGGATTACAAATTGGTGTCAAATCTAAGAAGCTGTTGTCTAATTCAAGGTCATAAAGATTTAGGGGCACCTGGGTAGCTCAGTCAGTTAAGCATGCAACTTCAGCTCAGGTCATGATCTTGTGGTTCCTGGGTTCAAGCTCTGCACTGGGCTCTGTGCTGGTAGCTCAGAGCCTGGAGCCTGCTTCATATTCTGGGTTTCCCTCTCTGCCCATCCCCTGCTCACAGCTGTCTCTCCCTCTCTCAAAAATAAACATTAAGTTTTTTTTTAAATTTAAATGCATTTTAGGTATTTTATTTTTTAAAAAATTTACTGTTTTATTTTTCAGAGAGAGAGAAAGAGAGAGAATGAATGGGGGAGGGGCAGGGATATGGATCTATAGAGGTTTACTGTTTTTTCCCCTTGTTATTTCTTTGTCTGTTTTTGGTTTTCTTGGTATAATGACCCCATAGAATTAGTCAAGAAGGTCCCTCACTTCTGTTTTCAAAGTTTGAGAAACAATGGTGTTAAATCTTCTTTCAATGTTTGGTAAAATTTACCAGCAAAGTCATCTGGCCTTGGACTTTTATTAATATTTTGTTGTTACTGCTCACTTCATGGCTTTACTTGCTATAGATTTGTTGAGACTCTTGAGTCATTTTTGGTGATTTGTTGTTTCTAGGAATTGGTCCATTTATTCTACGTTCCTAATTTGGGGGCATACAATGGTTCAGATTCCCTTAAAATCTTTTTCATTTCCATAAGGTCAGTTGTACCCTCTGACTTCCTAAATTTAACATTTTGAGATTTCTCTTTTATTTTTTTGTTCAATCTAGCTATAGGCTTGTCAATTCTGTGGATCTTTACAGTTGTGCATTGATTTTCTCTGTTATGTCTATTCTCTATTCCATTGATCTCTCCTCGAATTTCTATTAATTCCCTTATTCTTGCTTTGGGTTGTGTTTGCTTTTATTTTCTATTTTTAAGGTGGATGGTTAGATTATTGATTTGACATCTTTTTAAACATTTTTTAATTGTGGTGTTGTTTACAGCTGTATGTTTCTCTCTGAGAACTGCTTTGTTGTATCTCACAAGTCATAGTATGGTGTATTTTCATTTCCACCATCCTAAATTTTTTTTCTAATTTCACCTGTGATTTCTTCTTTCATCCAATGGTTATTTATAAGTTTCTTATTTAATTTCTATGTATTTATACCTTTTCAAATTTCTTCTGTTACTGATTTTTAATTTCATGCCATGGGGTCAGAGGACACACTTTATATGATTTCAGTCTTTAAATGTATTGGGACTTGATTGTGGCTCAGCATAGAGTTGGACTGTGTTTTGATTTTTGTTTTCTAGCCATTCTTCTATTCTCTGCATTTTAATTGGTTAAGTTTAATCCATTCACATATAACATAATTACAGCTAAGGAAGAAGATAACTTCTGTCACTTTCTACAGGTATTTTATCTTCTTATTCTTCAATTCCTCCATCACTTCTTCTTTTTACATTAAGTAGATATTTTCTAGTGTACCATTTTAATTCCTTTAACTTCTTTTATTTTTCTTTTACTATATGTGTTTGAGTTATTTTCTTAAGGTGTGCCCTGGAGGTTCAAATGTATAGCAATCTAGTTTGCATTAATACCAAGCAAATATCAATAGTATACAGAAAACTGTTCTTCTACAGCTCCATGCACTCTTTTATGCTATTATCACAAATTATTTCTCCATACATTTTGTGCCCATCAATGCAGATGTACAATTATTGTTTTGTGCCATTGTCTTCCAAAACTGAAACAAGGGACTGACCAATAAAAAATATATTTAAACTGCCATTTATATTCACCTGATACTATTTATTTCTTCTTGTGGAGTTGAGTTATTGTTCAGTTCCTTACATGTCTGCCTCAAGGGCTCTTTTTAGCATTCCTTGTATGAAGGTTCTGCCAATGACAAATTCACTTGATTTTTGTTTTTACTGTGATCATAACTTCTAAAGAATAGTTGTGATGGATATAGAATTTTGACTGACAACTTTTTTTTTTTTCCTGTGGAGCCTTTTATTGCGATATCCTGCTGCCTGCCTTCTGCCCTCCACACTTTCTCAGGATTAGTTAGCTGTTAATCATATTGAGGGTCCTTTCTACGTGACAGCATTTTTCTCTTGCCAGTCTCAAGATTCTTTGTGTTTCCAGTTTGATTCTGATGTGTCTAGTTGTCTTTGAGCTTATTCTATTGCTAGTTTATTGAGCTTTTGCAATGTGATTAGTATTTTTCATTAAATTTGAAAGTTTGGGGCCATGATTTCTTCATATATATATTTAACCCTTCTTTCCTCTTCTCCATGACTACCCTTATACATACATTGATATGCTTGATAATGTACAACAGACCTTAGGCTCTTTTATTTTCTCTTTCTGTTCCTCATACTCAATAATCTTATTTGACCTATCTCTGAGTTCACGGATTCTTTCTTCTGATTGCTTCAATCTAGTGAGTTTCTCTAGTGAACTTTTCATTTCAGTAATAGTACTTTAGAACGACAGAATTTCTATTTGCTTCCTTTTTATAATTTCTATCTACTGATATTCTCTGTTTAATAAGACATCATAATTATACTTTTCTTTCATTCATTAGTCATGGCTTCCTAGCTCTGCTATTTTATCTAACATAGCTTATTTAAAGTCTTTATCTACTTAGTGCAATTGTACTTTTCATTAGGTATAATTTCTTTTTTTCCCTATGAGTAGTCTAAATTTTCTTTTTTTATTTGCATACTTCACATTTTTTTGTTGTATCCTGGACATTTTGAATATTAATGTGGCAATTCTGGAAATCATATTCTTGCCCTGTCTAGAGTTTGTTGTTAATTGCTGCTTATGGTATTTGTTGTTGCTTATTTAGTGACCTTTCTTTTTTAATGTTCATTTATTTTTGAGGGAGAGAGAGAGAGATATAGCATGCCTGCAGGGGACAGGCAGAGAGAAAAGGAGAGAGAGAATCCCAAGCAGGATCCGCCCTGTCAGGGCAGAGCCTGACATAGGGCTCGAACTCATGAACACTTGAGATCATGACCTGAGCCAAAATAAAGAGTTGTACACTTAACCAACTGAGCTACCCAGGTGCCTCTAATAACTTTTCCTAGCTAATTCTGTAAAGTCTGATTCTTTTTGTTTGGGGCCATTGAGTTCTCTGGGATTCTGTTTGTTTATTTTAGTGTAGTGGCCATCTGATGATTAGCAGTTTTCCTTAAATACCTGGAACCAAAAAACTTCCTCAGTCTTTGTCAAGTGGCTCTATGTGTCGGTTGGGGTAGGTCTTCAAATTTCAGCCAGGTAGTTTACAATTCTACTTTAGCATACACTTTCTGCTTCTTAGGGCTTAAGAGGTGAAAATGTCAGGCCTTTTTGGGTCTTTATTGAGTGTTCACAAAGCTCTGTGTATGCACGTGGGCTTTTAGATTCTAAAATACATGTCAGTGCTTTGAAACCACTTTTGTACAATTCATTCCTTAGCCTTTCCTCTCAAACTTCTTGTTTGTTCCAAATGTCATCCTTCACCTCAGGCAGAAGCAA